CTCCAGTTCCCCTTCATTCAATAATCAATCATCACACTCCACAAGAAACCGGCTTAAGCCTGATATTACAGATTTCATCTACCATTCCTGGCTACATGCCATACACAAGCTGTAGAACATACCATCAAGGGGGAGGACCAGCAGTATACTATTCAAATCAACTCGAATATATCAATAACTCTTGCACAAGGGATGAACATGGAGAAAATATCATAGCCAAATTTTAAATTAAAAGACCTGCAAAAAAAACCCCTCACAGTTGATAAACATCTACAGAGTACCACAGTCAAACATTATCATGGTTAGTGAAAAACTAAGGAAACAGATTACTGATTCACACATGATTAAAGGACCACCTACTACTAACTGGTGATTTCAACATAAACAATTACACGACCAAGACCCACACGTAAAACCGAATTCACACACCAATGAGTACCTGCTTGTTGCGACCAGCAATATCTAAACCTACAAGAATCTCTGAGACAATGCATCTCCTTAATAGGATCACATCTGGACAAACACCATATACATATTCCCTTTTAAAATCATGCATAATCACAGAACAACACTACAGACCACTAACCCAACCTTTCTCATAACTAATCTGGGCAAACTACCACAAGACATTACTAAAGTAACCTTAAGACTACATAACGAGACAGCATTAACAACTTTATAGCAGCTATGAATAACATCGATTGGCAAAATGAGCTTGAAACATATACAGATATGAATGAATGTATAAATAATTTTCTAAAAAAAGCCCAATGCCTCTATAACAGACATTGCCCCAGAAAAACTAAACAGATCACAGCAAAGAGACTGAATAATCCCTGGCTAACACCAAGCATCCTCAAATCCATTAACACAAAGCACAAATATGAAAAACAGTATAGAATGGGTCAAATAACTAGAGAACAGTCGAGAAATTACTCGTCAGCACTTACCAGCCTGATAAGAAGGTCAAAAAAAATGTATTATGAAAATAGATTACATAACATCAAAGGTGATATGAAAAAAACCTGGAAAACTCTATCTGAAATTCTTGGAACTAAGAAGTTATCTAAAAACAAAGCAATCAAACTAACAAAATCAGATGAACCCCTACTCACTCCAACCTAGGAAAACAGCAAACAGACTTAATGTTTTCTTCTCCACCATAGGAAAAAATCTAGCAAACAAAATACCAAGCACAAATGCCCATCCATCAGACTACCTCATAGGAACCTACCCAAATATGCTATTCTTAGCTCCAACCAACCCCACTGAAGTTATGCTCATCATAAACACCCTTAAAAACAAGGCAGGAGACATAAACAACTTGCCTGCTTTTATGTACAAAAAAGCTTCTCAAGTATTGTCACCAATTATTGCAACGCTCTTTAACAAATCCATTGAATCATCTACCTTCCCAACAATCCTCATAATAGCGAAGGTCACTCTGATCCATAAAGAAGGTGACCAAGCTGACTTGAATAACTATAGACCAATATCTAACTTACCACTGCTCTCTAAAATCTTTGAAAAATTAATTCATAGATGGATGTATTCCTACCTCGTTTCACACAACATATTAAACCCTTGTCAGTTTGGATTCAGGAATAATAAAAGCACAAATGATGCTATCATACACATGCTAGAACTAATATATACCGCGCTTGAAAAGAAAGAAGTCCCGCTGGGCATTTTCATTCATTTACGCAAAGCTTTCGATACAGTTGACCATGAACTACTGTACTCCAAATTAATGCACTATGGTATCAGAGGCCACTCCTTCAACTACCTAAAGTCATACCTTAGTAACAGAACTCAATATGTGTATGCAAATGATGCAAACTCCTCCACCCAACCAATCACAGTAGGAGTCCCACAAGGAATTATCCTTGGACCACTCCTCTTTCTCGTCTACATCAATGATCTACCGAATGCATCACAGCTACTCAAACCCATATTATTTGCAGATGACACTACATATGTATTTTCCCACCCAAACACAGTCATACTAGCAAACACATCAATGCGAATTACAGAAAATATCTGCCTGGATGATGACTAACAAACTTACCCTGAACACTGATAAAACCTTATTTCATTCAGTTTGGAAACAAAGCTGCAAATGATCCAATTAACATTAAGCTAAATGGATCATCAGTCACAAGACTCACAGAGAGAAAATTCCTAGGTATCCACCTTGACAGTAGCCTTAAGTTCCGGACACACATACAACAAATCACCAAGAAAATCTCCAAGACTGTAGGCATACTATCAAAGATAAGGTACTACGTTCCACAATCAGCTCTCTGGCACTGTACCATTCACTCATATACCCTTATCTTACATATGGAATTTGTGCATGGGTATCAACAACATCCAATCGCCTAAACCCCCAATAACCCAGCAAAAGACAGCAGTAAGATGATAAACAAATTCCCACTCCTGCCAGCATACTCCACCAATTTTCAAAAGTCTGAATCTGCTTACCATTAAGAACATCCATACTTATTCATGTGCCTACTACATACACAGAAAATATACGCAAATATAAACCCCCAACTCAAACTTTCCTCACCAACCTAAACAGGACACATGACCACAACACAAGACACGATCTCTTTTTGATATACCTTGTGTCCAATCCACTGTGTAAAAACTCTATGCACATAAAGGGCCCCAAAATATGGAATCATTACCAGAAGATATTGAAGTAACCCAGTCTGAAAATCAATTTAAGACTCTTCTCAAAAGCCACTTAATCACCCTAGGACTAAATACTAAATACTCAGTACACATTTACTCACCTATGTACTCCCACATCATAACTGAAACAATCACATTGAACCTTTTATCCATTGTTGACAGGAATATAATTGAATCATTGTTTTTCACAAAAGCATTTTAGAATATAAATACGTATATCTTTGTATTATACAAATTTTGATTCATTTATAATTAATATTCTACCATACAACTATGAAATAATTACTTTCCTACTGTACAACTATGATATACTACTCCTTATTATTAAGTAGAATGTAAACCAATAATGTTAAGTTGGCCCATAATGCCAAGGCATAATAGAGGCTCTCTTTGCATTGCAACCCACTACTGTATATACACAATCTCAATGTACTGTTTGCAAAGACATTAAATAAATAAATAAAATAAAGCTGACCATGAACTTCGTTTTCAAGTCTATCAAAAACCCACCAACCAAAATGATCTTCTCCACTTCTACTCTCACCACAACACCAAAACTAAACGTGGTGTAATTATAGGCTTCTTCCTGCACTCACTCAGAATCTGCAGCAATGAGTTTCTTGAGAAAGAATGCACTATAATTGAACAAGTATTTTCCAAACTCCACTATCCTCGTCACTTCATCAGAGACTGCAGACGACGGGCATTAACATCTTCAACACACCCAGAGAAGACACTGCCAAGAAGAGATACATAGTCCTCCCCACCAACTCCATTGCCAAACACATTTCCAACATCTTTTCCAATACATCATTCCAAGTATCTACCTCCACAACCACGACCATCAAGGACATTACCAGTGATAGACAGGACAAACTTCCATCCTCTGCAGGGGTATACATAATCCCTTGCAATGACTGCAGCAAATTATACATGGGCGAAACATCAAGGGACCTCCAAACACATATTTTAGAACACCAATACGCAAGTAGGTCTGACGATACAAGGAATGCCTGTGTACAACACCGTAATTCACACAACCACTTAATAAACTACAGAAACTCAAGACTTATCGCCACAGAAGACAACACTCAATACCGAAGAATCCTGGAATCATCGCTTATCTCTATATCCGACAACTTCAACCAGAATAATGGCTTCTATAACATAGCTGAACCACTTGCCAAGAAACTTCTTCATCGCTATCCCACATAAGAGCATAGGAATGGAAGAACACTGCAGAAGGTCTGCTCACAAACTTATCCAATCTCCCTTCCAAGCTACCCAAGATTTTAGACTCTATAACCCCACTCAGTACATCATCAGATGCAGCATTCTCCACCTGACCTCAGCATTCTGAACCTGACTATAAATACTTGCATACCTTCCACCCCAGGTAGATCTGTTTGTGACTTGAAAAAGCCCACTGTGTGGGCGAAACGTTGTCAATAAAAGATCACATTATACTGCATATGTGTTTATATTTCCAAGTGTGATTATTAAATAGAAATTAAAAAACGAAAAAAATAAGATGGTGTGGGTGTGTGAAAAGTGTAAAGTAAAGAACAGAGGAGGACTTGAGATGGTTTGGTCATTTAATAAGGATGAAGCAAGTTAGGTTGACTATGAGGGTGTATGAAACTGGCTTGGATGGAAAATGGTTTATTGGATATTGCATGAATGGTTGGAGGGGAATTGTAACAGAGGTTTACAGAGGTTGGTCTTTGAACATCCACCATATTTTCTTAGGGTTGAGGGGAGGAGAGAAAAATGTTTTAAGGAATTTAATGTGGCACCTGCCTGTGGTCAGTTTCAAGAGTTATTCTACTCTCTGAGTCCAACCTGGTACCTGTTTGTTGCTTGTTCAACCAGGCTGTTGCTGTTAGTTGCTTGCTGGCCCACATAACCATCACAGCCTGTGAGAAGGATAATATCTATGAATGGATTCAGAGAAATCTGTTAATCAGATTTGTATTCTGTAAGTTGGAAGTACAGTGCCTGCACCTATGATGGTCTAGATGTGTTTCAACTGGTCATTTAGATGGTAATGTCTGTACATTTGTGGAAGAAAATCAAGAAGTGAGTGATGATTTTCTTCAATGGGTCACTCATTATATTAAAGCTACATATACAATGTACATATAGTAAAAGCAGTTTGTAATAGGAAATAATCCATAAATTGTATAAATAGGGATTAAAATTAATTTTGTGGAGAGGTGCACTATATACATGAGAACTCCATGGAGGCTGCAAAATTTATATGCTTATCTTTAATAAACTTTTTGTTTTGTTTTCGTCAGCCTGCATGGGTCGATGACCAGTTGTCTTCACTCTACAACGAGCTGGAGCTGGAGGGCTCTTCTATGGATCTTCACTTGGATGAAGGTATCACCTCATCATCATCATCTGGGGAAGATCAAGCTGGCACCTCAACACTGGTAAGACAACAGTGCATGAACAGAAATAAACCATGGAACAGGTGAGGTCAGAACCCATGGCAAATGAGTCATAAAGCTGTAAAGTTACATGGTTTGTTTACAGTCATGTTATGAACAAATACAGTTTGAAATTTGTCATGACTGCCATCATGTTAAATAAACAGTGTAAAATCAGAAGGAGGGGTAAGGGTTGTCCCAGAAATGGGTAGTGGCGGGGGGTAAAGGAAGTTTTGAGTGCTAGTGGCTTGAACATCCAACAGGATTGTATGAGTGTGATTGATCGAAGTGTATAGAAGCATGTAATTTCTCTGGCTTGATGTGTTGTTTGAGTGTGAACAAGGCATCATTTATGAAAGGATTCAGGGAAACTGGTTAGCCAGACTTGAGTCCTGGTGGTGGGAAATACTGTACATTGCCTACACTCTGAAGGAGGGATGAGAATGGTACAGTTCAGAGGGGCACCACGGCAAAACTAGTACTGTATTACTGGTGTAAACTACTTTTACTAGTATAAAATTAGTTTTACTAAAGTAAAATTAGTTTTATTAATGTTAAACTAGTTTTATTAATGTAAAATTAGTTATTATGGTGGAAAACTATTGTAGTTTTACTGGTGTAAGACTACTGTAGTTTTACAGGTTTACAGCTACCGTGGTTTTATTGATATAAAATTATTCGGCAGTTTTAATGGTATAGAAATAGTATTAAACTAGTTTTACACCAACCTCTCCCATGAAGGTTGCATAATCCCCCCAAAAAGGAAACACATTCATTATTATTCACTCAATCACTGCCTTGCCAAAAGTGTGCTGGTGGATGTACTGCTCCATAACCTGTGTCAATATAGAATAGTCAGTAAGAATTAGGATTAGTCTGCCTGAAATGCCTAGGCATGCTAGTGGCTTTCTTTGTAATTGATATCTTTTAATATGTAAACCAAGAAAATAAAAATTTTCATTTTCATTTTCAAATGACCCTCTGAACAGCACCCTCCCTACCACTTCTTCAGAGTTCCGGGAATGGTATTTAGCCAGATTCAAGTCTAGCTAAACAGTTTCTCTGAATCCCTTCATAAATGTTATCTTGGTAACATTCCAACAGCACATCAAGCCATTAAAACCAACTGTCTCCACTCAATCCAATCTAACACACTTAAGCACTTAAAAACCTCCTTTATACTTTCCTCAGCCTTTCCTGGGATGACCTCTATTCCTCTTTTTCTCCTCCTCACACTTATATCTCCTCTTTGTCATCTTATTCAGCTCCATCCTTTCCAAATGCCCAAACTGCCTCAAAACCTCTTGTCAGCCCTCTGAATTATACCTTTGAGGAGGTGTTGTTGAGGTGGTCTTAGGGATTTAGAGAATACAGAGCAAACTAGGATAACTAAGAGGGTGTATAAAATTATAAATCTTGATTGAAAGGAAAGGTGCAGTATGGGTCATCCCAGGGAAGAGTCATGGAAAAATTGTTTTATATTGACAGTAAACTCTCATGATGCTCCTCTACATATGTGATTTTTGTAAATGTGATGTGATTGAAAAAGTATAGAGGAGGCCCTGTTTGTATGGCTCTTAGGTCCCTGACCCTGTGCAATAAGCAGAAATCGCCAGTGGGTGGAAAAACAGCATTTTTTCATTACTGAATGAGTCTAAATGCCTGATAACATATTTACACTATCATATATTAAGTGCTCAATACAGCTGGGCACAAAAAAACATATAAAAAAGTAAAAGAAATACACAGTACATACAATACTTACCTTAAAATATGGCACTGGTCATCCTTCTCTTCCTCAACCATTGTGCAAAAATGGCAGAAAATAATAAAAGCAATGAACATAATGAACAATGGCTCAATTGAAAGCCAACGAAAAACGTGGAACACCGAAAAGAGGGTGCTGTATATACGGGGCTCTCCTTTATCTAGATTTGAATAGCTCATGGAAAGGCCTTCATAGTATATGTTATTCAGTGTTTGGATGCACTTTTTTAATTTCATTTCCAAAAAAAAAAAAATCACGTTTTATAGAGGAGTTTTACGAAAGGATTTATTGTACATAGCTACTGTTTTCACAATAATTTTTATTTTTACCTTTGTCCATTTCTATTGCTATATTACTAAGATGTTTTAATATTCCTGTTGTATGAATTATTTTTTCATTTACACAGACTTCCCCAAGAAAAAAGAAGTCAAGCATGTATTTCAGCAAGATGGCTATGGTTCATGAAGAAGAAGCACCACTGCCGCCTGCCAGTGTGTGGAACACGAGACAGCAGCAGCAAGCACAAGAATCCTCCAGCTCTTCATCATAATAGTGCTCTTAGTCTTGCTTCATCATATCACTAAACCTAAGCTAATAAGGCCAAATAAGTGGTATCCACATTGGACTCCTTGAGCAAATTAGGTTGATATTCATGTTTTTGTAAAAACTATGATAAAACATTACATCTCTTGTCATAAGATTTTTGATACACTTTAATTATGTAACATTACTCTGAAAATCCTTACTTTAAAAATAGACACTAAGTACAAACTTAATATTGCACTCCCTAGTCTAAGATAGTCCTAAGTATGTATTTAATAAGAGAACCAAAACAAGGAGAATTTATATGAAACTGAGTTAAGGTATGGTAGCAGTAACTGAGGGGCTGATTACCTCATCTCCTACCATCTCCAGCTTCAAGACCTTCACTTACTTCTATATTAAACTGATATAGCCACTGCTTGGCAAAACATCATGAGAAGATAGATACCCAGGTGTTACACACATCTCTTATTCATCATTAAGGTCATCTTGCTGCATCTGTTTTACTGTTTTCTCTAAATGACATACCATCTGACATTATTACACTATTCTTAAGTTTTTTATCTGTTTCTTTTGTTCTGTGAGATGGTCTGTTCTGTATTCTTTGCTCATTTCAAGTTCTTCATGCTTCCTGTATGTAATGTAAGCAACTGAAATTTGTAACCATTCAATATGTTATTTTCATTTATCCATTGGAAGATATGGATAATATCTGATGGCAGTCCTTCTGCATCTCCTACTGAGGCAGCTTACATACAAGTTAACAAATAAGACATTTGTGCACACACTTCAGTATCTGTATGGCTGAAACATTTCACTTCCTCAACAAACTTTTTCAGTCAAATATAACTGAACATAGCACTGCAGACAAAAGTTATTTTGAGGGGGGGAGTCAGTCACTTAGCCTCAAGCACTTGTGCTGGCCCTGTATTTAACTGAAGAAACCTGATATGGAGGCAGAATGTTTCGATAACAAATCTATCCAAATGTTGCATATGTGTCTTATTCATCTTCCTGAGCACTGTATGAATCATGCAGGTTCAGTACTTTCCCATGACTATAATAAAAAAATTGTATATAATTGCAGTAGCTGCTATTATTTTAGCATGTTTTGCAGCATGATTCAAAATATTAACCAGTGTTCAAATGATTATTTCATTGTAGCCCTGGTCAATAATCCATCACACAAATTGCAGCTACTAAATTTTTTAAGTTTTTGTAACATAAGCCATCTTGAATTTTAACATGATCAGTGAACTGAAACCTGAAACTATTACTAGCAGTGGTGAGTGCAGTTTTTCAAAAAGGATGATTCAACAAGGGAGGACAAGTCATATGAACTGGCATAAATTTTATAAGAATTATCCTCATTCTGTTAACTTGGTCCTAGAGAAGGGGTCAAATTTAAGGTTTTATTATAGGTCTATTTTTAAAGGGTAGATATTGAGTGTGATTTGAATATCATACTCGACACATACACACACAACCTATAAGTATATATTGGGCAAAAACTAAAGGTTCAAACTAGGAGTTAGTAAAATTTCATTGTTATTAGGATTAAGACTTGTGATGTTATATGTTTAGCCCGGACTGATGTCATTTTGTTTTGTATGAACAGACATCTTTTATTTTCTCTGTACAGTATAGGGTAGCATCTTTATCAGCTCAAGTTTACACCAGCTATGACATCCCAGTGTTTGTTATGGTACTAGTCACATTTTTATATCCACTGCATTTGTCTCATGTATGTCAACATTTTGTACCATAGTTAGATTTAAAAAAAAAAATCACAAATCATATTCTGTATAGAAGTGAAATTTTTAAATGCAAAAATGCCATTCCCAGTTACTAGTTTCCCTAGTTCTGATTTTCACCATGAGTGTCTAAGATATTCCTAACATTGTTCACTAGTCTGGGTCCTTGGAGGTGGGATACCATGATCAGTATATTGTATCACATGAGATTTATTATAAACTCCAGCAATTATTATCTAGTTATTTATTTGAAAATGAAAATGAGAATGTTTATTTCCTTGCAAAGTTTACAGTGTGTGGTTTAAATATAAAATATTAATTACAAAGAAGGCCACTAGCATGCCTAGGCATTTCAGTTAGTTTAATATGTTTATTATGCACCCCATACCCATCCTGTGGGCGGTAGTCAAAAGATTACAGAGGTACATAATTGGTACAGGCATTTCAGGTAGACTAATCCTAATTCTTACTCTGTATTGACGTAAGTTATAAAGCAGTACATTTTAATATACATTATTGCATATTGATATAAAAGTTTAGAGCTTTAATGTTGAGAAGATTATAACTGAAATTTATAGGTACTGTATTATACTTGACTAATGTTGTTGAATTTCAAGACAATAAGAAATTAAGTAAAAATAATAAAAACCTCAGTGTAGCTTCAGCTCTTACAGTTGGCTAAGTAAAATACGCTGTGAACATAAATATATGTACAGTACATTATTGAGTTATACCTAGAGTAACCCAATCAATAAAGTTACACAATGTAACTTATTTGCACTGCAGTTCTTAAGTACTTTGTGCAAGTTGTTTGATATAAATGAGATTGTACTAATGTGGCAATGTTTTCATGGATAGTCCTCTGAAGTGCACACACAAGAGAATAACATCAACAATATAGGCTAAGTTTACCAGAGTGGTATTCAATAACCTAGACAGTGAATCATTCCAAACTCTTTTTAGCTTGTATGTGCAATTTTTTCTTGATTGTGGGGTGTCATTGCAGAACCCTCGTATAGTAAAACAGAAATTTCAAAGGAGTGCATGAAGACTGCTACCTGAGAAGAAGGAAATGAACTATGAAAGAATGTAAGAACTAGGACTAATGTAACTTCTTAAAGACCAACAAGAGGGTTAGGACCACAACTAGGCATGGGACAATACCAAATACTGATACTTTTCCAATAGTTTTTATTTTTAGAACTGTGTTCAATAAATTAATATATATATATATATAATATATATATATATATATATATATATATATATATATATATATATATATATTTTTTTTTTTTTTTTTTTTTTTTTTTTTTCTGTCTCATAAACATGCGAGGTTTCAGGTACGTCTTGCTACTTCTGCTTACACTTAGGTCACACTACACATACATGTACAAGCATATGTATACACACCCCTCTGGGTTTTCTTCTATTTTCTTACTAGTTCTTGTTCTTGTTTATTTCCTCTTATCTCCATGGGGAAGTGGAACAGAATTCTTCCTCCGTAAGCTATGCGTGTTGTAATAGGCGACTAAAATGCCAGGAGCAAGGGGCTAGTAACCCCTTCTCCTGTATATATTACTAAATGTGAAAGGAAAAACTTTTGTTTTTCCTTTTGGGCCACCCCGCCTCGGTGGGATACGGCCAGTGTGTTGAAAGAAAGAATATATATATATATATATAATATATATATATATATATATATATATATATTTATCTTTTAACAACACACGGCCATATCCCACCGAGGTGGGGTGGCCCAAAAGAAAAAACAAAAGTTTCTCCTTTTACATTTAGTAATATATACAAGAGAAGGGGTTACTAGCCCCTTGCTCCTGGCATTTTAGTTGCCTCTTACAACACGCATAGCTTACGGAGGAAGAATTCTGTTCTACTTTCCCATGGAGGTAAGAGGAAATAAATAAAGACAAGAACTAGAAAGAAAAACCCAGAGGGGTGTGTATATATATGCTTGTCGATGAATGGTTCAGAGAACCGACATGTTGATAAATTAGACACATGTGCAACTCTTGGGTATCTCAATAAAGATACCCAAGAGTTGCACATGTGTCTAATTTATCATATATATGCTTGTACATGTATGTGTAGTGTGACTTAAGTGTAAGTAGAAGTAGCAAGACACCTGAAATCTTGCATGTTTATGAGAGAAAAATGGACACCAGCAATCCTACCATCATGTAAAACAATTACAGGCTTTCGTTTTACACTCACTTGGCAGGACGGTAGTACCTCCCTGGGTGGTTGCTGTCTACCAACCTACTACCTTTAATAAATATATATATATATATATATATATATATATATATATATATATATATATATATATATATATATATATATATATATACACATATATACTATACATATATAATAACATATATACATACATAATACATACATACATACATACATACATACATACATACATACATACATACATACATACATACATACATACATGTATATTTGTTTTTGTTTCTTTACACAGGGTTTGACAAGGTTAGGTTAAGGATCCCTAACTTTATTGACAAGCTAAGAGCTGTTACCTACATCAGCTCATTTGAAAGCATTCTTATTGTTGTGAGACATACAAGTAGGGAACAGAATGAAGTTGGAGTCATCTGTCAGCCAGCATTTTCATTTGATTAACTGACTTTATCTCGTTGACATCATAATGCTGTACGAATGTGTTCCAGACTCGAGTCATCCTGGGGATAAATGATCTCAAATGAAGTTATGTTCTGGAGAAGGGTACAGCCAGAGTGAAGTTGCTGCTTTCTGCTCATCTTGTGATATAGAAGCTTGCTTCTCGCAGTCCTCAAAGTGCAGCCAAGTGTGGTATTTTGACAATATTGGCCTTGTACATAACAGTAAGGCCACCCACATCCCTCCTGTGTTGAAGGCTCTGCTGAAATGGCAGATCTATCCAGGATGGGTCCAGGCGAGAGATGAGACATCTTGCTCTGTTCTCTAATCTGTCAAACAGTTGCAGATAAGAGGGGGGGGGGCAGGCAAACCAAGAAAGTGGAGCATACTTAAGGTGTGCGTGCACCTGTGCCTCATACAGAATCTTGCAACCCCTACTGTCAAGCAGATACGAGATACATTGAAGTGCTGTAAGCTTCCTGGCTGCCTTGTCTGCAAGATTTACAGCGTGGTTCTTCATGGTCAGTTTGGAGTCATATTTCACCCCAAGGATATCATTTTCTTCCCCAGGTACCAACATTCTCCCATTCATACTTAATACTGCTCTGGCATTACCATTGTGGTCCCTAGAGACCATCATCATTTGTGTTTTCTCAGGTGCAAATGTTACTTGCCATTGGTTTCCCCAAGCTGATAAAGCTCTTAGCTGGTGATTGTGTAGCTTAGAGCAGCTGGTGTTTCTTCTTTTGGATAAGTAAATGTCAGAGTACAATCATCTGCATATGCATGGGATTCTGGGATGAGATGAAGGTCATTGAAGTAGTCATTCCATAACAATGGTCCCAGCACACTTCCTTGTGGAACACTTGCCCCAGTAGGATGTCTTGCTGATCCATTAGAGATCTACCATGAAGGTAATCACTGAGGAGACATAGCATAGAGCCTGCAATTCCCAGTGCTTGAAGTTTTGCCAAGAGGCCCTGGTGCCACACTCGGTCGAAAACATCAGCAATGTTTGCTGGTGCTACCACACAGCTGACTTTGGATTCATCCAGTGACTGGTGCCATTTAGTGGAGAGGTTTAACAACAGATCAGCAGCAGAGTAAGGTACCTGAAGCCATATTGACGGTCACAAAGTAGTGAGTGGTAGTCAAAAATCTCTGTCATTTGTCTTGAGATTATTGTCTCAAGGATCTTGCCAGTGATTGACAGGAGTGACACTGGTCTGTAGTACTGAATTCTGCTCTGCTCTTCTTTTTGTGAATTGGGACTACATTTGCCTCTTTCCACAGAGAAGGCCATTTACACTGTACTAGGCAGTGCTGAAAGGTGTGAGTTAGAGGTGCTACTAGCTGGTCTGCACATCTCTCAGCAATCTTGGGCTCAACTTGTCTGGGCCCACAGCCTTTTTTTGGTCAAGTGATTTAAGAAGGAAATGCACCTCCTCCTGCCTCATTGTCACCACTGACAGTTTTGACACAGTTCTTGCAGCTAGCAAGCTGGATCAGGAACTTGCATTTTGGTAGCACAGTATTCGGCAAAGAGGTCCGCTTTCTCTTGACTACTAATAGAGGTGGTCCCATCCTGTTGATTTAGAGGTGGAATGAGCTCATCAGGCAGATAACCTTGTCTGTCCTTGACCAGGGACCACCAGGTTTTGGAGCCTACTCTACCTGATGCTAGCTTTGTTTTTGTGTCCACCTCCCATTTAGCAATGGCCCACTTTTAAACTTCACCCACATGTCTACAGGCTTGCCTGTGCACGTTCCTTTTATAGGTGGTAGGATGTCTCTTATGCCTTCGCCATGCCTTGCACTTAGCAGTAGCAGCCTCTCTACAACGAAAGCCAAACCAAGGCTGATCAGTAGGATTCTTCACATACTGTCGGTGAGGGATGTGTTCTTGTTGTAGACTAAGGATGTGTCCAGTGAAGGCTTCACTTGGTTGTCAACATCCTCTTGGAGAAGAGCATTCCAATCGGTGGTGGTGAGCTCAAAGCAAAGGGCTGGCCAATAACCTCTTTCCCATAGCCAGGTTGTGCATGTGGGCTCCTCACCTCATTCTGTTGGGATCTTAAGTGTCGTAATAACAGCCTTGTGGTCAGACAATCCAACATAGCTGAGGGGTTGACAAGTGACTATACCTAACTCCCTCCCTCCCTCCCTCTGTGTGTGTGTGCGAGAGAGAGAGAGAGAGAGAGAGAGAGAGAGAGAGAGAGAGAGAGTGAGAGAGAGAGAGAGAGAGAGTGAGAGTGAGAGTGAGGTGAGTGAGATGAGAGTGAGAGTGAGTGAGTGTGAGTGAGAGTATAAGAGTAATTCTCATAATCATGAAGTACAGTGTTAATGTTGATATTTTTAAGCCTACATGTAATATTAATACAGAAACATTTCTTCTACACAAGTGTTTATGAAATAAAGTCCACTAAGCAGTTACATCATGGATGGACCTGCAAGTTTTTGGACTTCCTTGCCATGGGTTCAAACCCCAGCCATTCTCCAAGTTGTTTGTAATCATGTTGAAAGTTAAGAGGCAGTATGAAGCTACAGGGAACAGGAATGTTGACAGGCAAAGCAATACAATGATAGCATTAATTTAAAAAAAAAGTGTAGAAGAACAAAGTTATCATCATTGGAATGTTTGTGGCATTTCACTACAAGAAGGTTAACTAGCAAACAAACAAATAGTATAGCTTTTCTCACTGACAAATATTGTAAAAGTACTTAAGAAAGTCATTTAAAAAATGGGTTAAAGCATTTGAAGAGCAAAGATGCTACTGACAAGCAGTTAGGTTGGTATTAGATTAGTTGAATCCTGTATGTCAAATCTGTTAAGCAGCTATCATATGTTTATGGAAATAATTCAAAGACTGAATGGGCAGATCACATTTCTGTAAACTTTAAGACAACTTTTGAAGGCCAAGCTTTATGAAAAATTTAGGCTGGAAACTGATATACACTGTACAGGAATAAAAGACAAACAATTAAAATGGAAGATAGATTTTATGGTTTTATAGAAAAATGTACAATGATAAAATAGTAAGTTTATATGTTTATAATGTTTATATTTTATATAAATGACTTGACAGAAGTGTATACTAATTATTCCATCCAGTTGCAGACTTCCTCATCCCCTTTACAAAAATATTTATGGATTACCGAAGTTCTGTAGTGCCATGTAGTCTTATGTAGGTGTAGCAGAAATTTTAGGAATGTAGTGGTACACATATATTTTGCAATTTTGTTTGGTATTTACTGAAGAAAGTGATGTAGATCTGTAAAAACATTAAAATGTATTGCAAAAAAATGTCTTTCTGATAGGCAGGTGGTTGCAAAATAATAAGAAATCTGCAGTCAGTGAAAAATATCTGTTAACCCAACAGAAAGTGGTTCATTTAGTGGATAACACGTATGGCACATGCATATTTCACGAATAAATTGTGGTTAAGTCTAAGAGGTGCATACATGCATGTACAGTAAAGCCCCAGGGTACATTCATCTGCAC